GTCTATCTGCCATATCCTCCTTCCACTCCTCCTTCAGCCATCACTTCCTCCAAAAAGCCCTCCCTCAACTCCCCCAAGCGTAACTGGAATTCACCCCTGGGCTCCCCATCATACACTGCTCTGGACCTCACTTTTGTGTGATCATTTACTTCTTGTTTCTTCCCCCAACTAAGCTGTCAAGTGCTGTGTCCTACCAGCTGGCAAAGAGGCCAGAACACAGTAAACTCTAGATTCTACTGAACGACTTTAAAAATTACCTACTGCGGGGCCAGTGCTGTGGCATAGCAGGTTAAGCTGCCACCTGCAATGCCGGCATCCCATATGGGCGCTGGTTTGAGTCCCAGCTGCTCTACTTCCAATCCAGCTCTCTGCTGGGGCCTGAGAAAGCAGAAGATGGCGCAAGCCCTTGGGTTCCTGCACCCACGTGGGGCCATCTCCTGGCTTCTGATTGCCACAGCTCCAGCCACTGCAGCCAACTGGGGAATGAACTAGCAGGTGGAAGACCTCTCTCTCCTTCTGCCTTTCCTTCTCTCTCTGTGTAACTCTGACTTTCAAATAAATAAATAAATCTTTAAAAAAAATTACCAATTAGGGGCAGGCATGAAACACAGCTTGGGATACCCACATCCATACTGGAGTGCTGGGAATTGAGTCCTATCTCCCATTTCTAATCCCTGGTGCCTTCTAATCTGCACCTTGGAGGCAGCAGATGATGGTTCAATCGTTTGGGTCCCTGCTACCTATGTGGAAGACAAGGATGAACTTCCTGGCTCCTGCCTTCAGTCTGGCCCAGCCCTGGCTGTTGTGGGCATTTGTCTTGTGAGCCAGCAGATGGAAGATCTTTCTCTGTCTCCATCTCTGTCCCTCTGACTTTCAAACAAATGAAAACAAATATATACATACATACAATGTTAATGAACTCCAGGTGCATTAAGATGTTCTTTGAGTCTGCTCCCCAAGACTTGCTGATTTAGACTGGCCTCCCATCTGGGTTGATTTTGGTGTTCTTGCGAGGCAGAGGTCAAGGGAAGCTGCTTTTCCATGTAGGTGTATGATCGACACTGGCAACACAAGGCCAACATTTCCCTATCACACGGAAGTGTCACCTTTACCATAAATCAGGCAACTTTTTTTTTTTGACAGGCAGAGTGGACAATGAAAGAGGGAGAGACAGAGAGAAAGGTCTTCCTTTTCCATTGGCTCACCTCCCAGTGGCTGCTGTGGCCAGTACGCTGTGGCTGGCGCACAGCGCTGATCCGAAGGCAGGAGCCAGGTGCTTCTCCTGGTCTCCCACACGGGTGCAGGGCCCAAGCACTTGGGCCATCCTCCACTGCACTCCCAGGCCACAGCAGAGAGCTGGACTGGAAGAGGAGCAACTGGGACAGAATCCGGCACCCGACCAGGACTAGAACCCGGTATGCCGGCGCCGCAAGGTGGAGGATTAGCCTAGTGCCGGCCAGGCAACTATTTTATGCATGGATCAACTTCTGTCCCATTGGTCAGTTCACCATCCAGTTCCCCAAGGCAAAGACCCCATGACATCTGTACTCTGCAAACACACAACAAAATGTAAGCCAGAGACAACTTGAGGGCTTGAGCCGGGAGGTGAACAGACTGTGAGCTGGAGCTGCAGGTGCAGAGGAAGCCTGAGGTCCCAGTCAGGACCGGGGAGGCTGCGGCCGGCTCTGACCCACAGCACGTGGACTGTCTCCATGAGGAGGGCAGATGCAGAAACGCAAGCCTGGAACCCAGAAGGGAAGAGCTCAGGCATGGCCCAGAGTCAGTGACAGGAGCCAAGAGAACTGCGTGCCTCCCAGGGCTGAATTCCCTGGCTCTCAGCCCTGCTGGCAGGCAGCTCGGTGGGAAACCCCCCTGCTGAGCAGCTCAGGGCATCAAGTGGCGTTGGCCAGCTGGGAGAGAGAGGAGACAGAGAGATGCTGAGAAATGCCTCACTCCTCTGTGCCCTCTCTGGGAAACACAAGACTGAAGAGGCCCCCGTGAGGGGAGGTGGGGGTCTGCATGACATATGGCTCCACTGCAGGGGCACTTGGTGTTCAGTGCCAGCCGGAGGCTGCCGCCTGGGGATGGGGCCAGCACTGCCAGCTCTTCCAGTTCTCCAAGAGAAGCTGAAAACCCAAACTTGAATCTACTGTTTTAAAGTACTTATAGCGAATTTGTAAAAATCATACATATACCTACAAGTCATAGCTGACCCCATCTGCTTTAGTATCCGGTATTTTGAAATGAATAGAGGAAGAAATAAATTCCCATACATATCCTTGAGTCCTGGGTGAGTCCACAGTACTGCTCAGATATGAGGAGGAAAGTGTAGAGACTTTAGAAAATCTATTGTGAAAATGACAGGAAACACAAACATGGCCCCCTGCTGGGTTACTTTTCTGAGTATAATTGCATTTTAATAATCTGACACTGATTCTTAAGATAATAATTGTTTGGTTCTCACATTGGGTTTGTGTTGATTATTTTGGAAAGTGTGCTGAGGTTTATTTTATTTGCCAATCTTGTACTACTTTAATGAAAATTCATTACCAAAAGAGCTTTCTAAACTGGAAAGGAAGAGACAGCAAGGAAATGACTATATATATATGTAAACAAGCATGCTAAATGAATTATTTTTTACATAAGATAGTTAGCTCACCCTGATGAAAAATTAGTAAGAGAAAACACCACCCTTTGAAACAGAACAAAAGCTATGGAAACAGTAAATAAGTGAAACAATATGATCTTAAGGATCATTTAGGAAGACTGTGGTATAGAAGGGAAAGCATTAAGCTTAGACTCATAAGATCTGACTGAAGCCCAGATTTTGCCCTTTCAGCTAAATTAACCTCTGGATGATAGGATTTTATTTCCCTGCCCTGTTGGCATCATTCCCTTGGCTTGGCCAGTAACAGTGATTAGAAGTGAACACAAGAGATCTGCAAAAAAACCCATAGTTGGTGTTATGGCACAGCAGGTTAAGCCTCAGCTTGCTATACCAGCTATTCCATATCAGAGTGCCAGTTTGAGTCCTGGCTACTCTGCTTCTGATCCAGTTTCCTGCTAATGCTCCTGAGAAGGCAGCAAGAGACAGCCCAAGTACTTGAGTCCCTGCCACCCACACAGGAGACTTCTGGCTTCGGCTTCAGCCTAGCCCAGCCTCAGCTGTTGCAGCCATCTGGGGAGTGAATCAGCAGACAAACAGAAGATTTCTCTCTCTCTCTCTCTCTCTCTCCTTTCCCTCTCTCTTCTCTCCCTCTCTCTTTCTCTCTCTGTTACTTTGGCTTTTAAATAAATAAATAAATATTTTTATTTTAAAATGATTATGGAAAAGTAGGATTAAAAGATGAGATTATCTTGGTGCAAAAAATGAAGTTCATGCATTTTTCTTCATAATATGGATTTTTACATGAAGTTTTTGAAGACTACTCAAATGTCACTCCCAGCTGAAGCTTCTGAGCTGGTGTAAGATTTGCTGTGCTTTCTCTGCCTTCTGCCATGGTGAGCAGCAACATTCCAGGTGGTGAATAATCTGCTAGCCAGAGAAAGAGCAGCCCATGACAGACGGGGATATGGACAGGGAGCAGTCTTTATAGTGTTAATCCAGTGGAATTCACAGGTCTGTTTGTCACTACAGCATAGCCCAGCCCACCTCAACTGATAACAGTCCATAAGCTTAGATTCTTTATCTTAAAATAAAATTTACAAATGTTACTTCATCTAGCAAATGAATTCAGTGAACAACTCATTTTCCTATGTATGGTATAGACTTCATGTCCTCCATTCCCCCTTTCATACATTACACCGAAGAATAGACTGCTATGTTCATTATGGCATGCCTTTCCTTTCATCCATATATCTCAGGTAACGAGGACAAGAACTTCAGCCAACAAACAAGATACATCCCTCTGGGAAGGAAAACAAAATTTGCCAAGGTTGCATAACTAGGTAAAATAGGTTTATTCCTCATTAATCATCGTGGATGCCCAAAATAAAAGCCACAAAGGGATTTAACTCCATGCCAACTGTGGGACAGAAACTCAGAAAGACTGGCAAGACGGAATCCTGTCAAGAATGTAGAACAAGTGGAAGTCTCGCGTATTGCTCGCAGGAGGCTAAGAATATGCTCCCACCTGAAAGGCAGTTTGGCAGCTCCTTCCAAAGTCAAATGATCCATATGATCCAGCCACCCCACTCTTAAATATTTATCCCAAGGAAATAAGCCAGGTACCCACTCTACCAGTTACCTACTGCTGTGTAACATTACTACAGACTTGCCACCTTCAAGAGCACATATTGGGGCTGGTGTCATAGCGCAGCAGATAAAGCTGCCACATGCAGTGTTGGCATCCAGTATGGGCGCTGGTTTGTGTCCCAGTTGTTCCATTTCTGATCCAGCTTCCTGCTAACGGCCTGAGGAAGGCAGGGGAATACGTCCCACGTGTCTGGGCCCCTGCATCCCACCTAGGAGAACCACAAGAAGCTCCTGGCCGTGGCAGCCATCTGGGGAGTAAACCATCAGATGAAAGATTCTCTTGGCCGGCACCGTGGCTCACTAGGCTAATCCTCCGCCTAGCGGCGCCGGCACACTGGGTTCTAGTCCCGGTCAGGGCGCCGAATTCTGTCCCGGTTGCCCCTCTTCCAGGCAGGCTCTCTGCTGTGGCCCGGGAGTGCAGTGGAGGATGGCCCAAGTGCTTGGACCCTGCACTCCATGGGACCAAGAGAAGCACCTGGCTCCTGCCTTTGGATCAGCGCGGTGCGCCGGCCTTGGCGGCCATTGGAGGGTGAACCAACAGCAAAGGAAGACCTTTCTCTCTGTCTCTCTCTCTCACTGTCCATTCTGCCTGTCAAAAAAAAATAAAGATTCTCTCTCTCTCTCTAACTCTGAATTTTGAAAAAAATAAATAAATCTTTTGTTTTGTTTTTTAACTTTTATTTAATGAATATAAATTTCCAAAGTACAGCTTATGGATTACAATGGCTTTCCCCCACCCCATAACTTCCCTCCCATCCACAACCCTCCCCTTTCCCGCTCCCTCTCCCCTTCCATTCACATCAAGGTTCATTTTCAATTCTCTTTATATACAGAACATCAGTTTAGTATATATTAAGTAAAGAATACAACAGTTTGCACCCGCATAGAAACACAAAGTGAAAAATACTGTTTGAGTACTAGTTATAGCATTAAATCACAATGTACAGCACATTAAGGACAGAGATCCTACATGAGGAGTAAGTGCACAGTGACTCCTGTTGTTGACTTTACAAATTGACACTCTTGTTTATGGCATCAGTAATCACCCTAGGCTCTTGTCATGAGTTGCCAAGGCTATGGAAGCCTTTTGAGTTCACCGACTCTGATCTTCTTTCTTTCTTTCTTTCTTTATTTTACAGGCAGAGTGGACAGTGAGAGAGAGAGACAGAGAGAAAGGTCTTCCTTTGCCGTTGGTTCACCCTCCAATGGCCGCCAAGGCCGGCGCACTGCGGCCGGCGCACCACGCCAATCCGAAGGCAGGAGCCAGGTGCTTCTCCTGGTCTCCCATGGGATGCAGGGCCCAAGCACTTGGGCCATCCTCCACTGCACTCCCTGGCCATAGCAGAGAGCTGGCCTGGAAGAGGGGCAACCAGGACAGACTCCGGCGCCCCGACCAGGACTAGAACCCGGTGTACCGGCTCAGCTAGGTGGAAGATTAGCCTGTTGAGCCGCAGCGTGGCTCTGATCATATTTAAACAAGGTTGTAGTCAAAGTGGAAGTTCTCTCCTCCCTTCAGAGAAAGGTACCTCCTTCTTTGATGACCTGTTCTTTCCACTGGGATCTCACTCACAGAGATATTTCATTTAGGTTTTTTGTTTTTTGTTTTGCCAAAGTGTCTTGGCTTTCCATGCCTGAAATACTCTCATGGGCTTTTCAGCCGGATCTGCATGCCTTAAGGGCTGATTATGAGGCCAGAGTGCTGTTTAGGACATCTGTCATTCTATGAGTCTGCTGTGTATCTCGCTTCCCATGTTGGATCGTTCTCTCCCTTTTTGATTCTATCAGTTAGTATTTGCAGACACTAGTCTTGTTTATGTGATCCCTTTGACTCTTAGTCCTATCATTATGATCAATTGTGAACAGAAATTGATCACTTGGACTAGTGAGATGGCATTGGTACATGCCACCTTGATGGGATTGAATTCGAATCCCCTGGTATGTTTCTAACTCTACCGTTTGGGGCAAGTCAGCTTGAGCATGTCCTGAATTGCACATCTCTTCCCTCTCTTATTCCCACTCTTATATTTAACAGTGATCACTTTTCAGTTAAGTTTCAACACTTAAGAATAACTGTGTATTGATTACAGTATTCAATCAAAAGTACTAAGTAGAACAAATAAATCTTTTTTTTTTCTTTGACAGATAGAATTAGTGAGAGAGAGAGAGAGAGACAGAGACAAAGGTCTTCCTTCCGTTGGTTCACCCCCCAAATGGCCGCCACGGCCAGGGATGTGCCAATCCGAAGCCAGGAGCCCAGTACTTCCTCCTGGTCTCCCATGCAGGTGCAGGGGCCCAAGCACTTGGGCCATCCTCCACTGCCCTCCTGGGCCACAGCAGAGAGCTGGGCTGGAAGAGGACCAGCCAGGACTAGAACCCCGTGGCCCATATGGGATGCCAGTGCCACAGGCGGAGGATTAACCAAGTGAACAACAGTGCTGGCCCCAATAAATAAATCTTAAACAAAAAGAAAGCACATACTTATTATCTCTGTTTCCTTGGGTAAGGAGCCTGGACATGGTTTAGCAGGGACTTCTGCTCCAGCAAGTCTTATAAGACTGATTAAGGTGTTGACCAGGGCTCAGGCCTCATCATATACTCAACTGGGATGGAACCACTTCCCACCCAGCTCCTACAACTGCTGAGCATGATCTAGTCCCTGTCAGACTCTCCGCTCTGGGCCTCAATTTCTTGGAGACCCTTAGAAGCTACCTCTAGTTCCTTGCCACATGGACCCCTCTGCAGGGTGGCTTCCTTCATCAAAGCCATTAAAGAGCCTGTTGGCAAGGCAGGAGATACACTCTCATGTGTTGCAACTGCAGAAGGGACCACCCATCACCTCTGCCACATTCTGTTGGTTAGAAGGAAGTCACAGTCCCCACCAACACTCAAGGGAAGAGGCTGGCACAGGAGGCAGGGATCATTGGGAACCATCTCAGAGCCCTGTACCACATTCAGGCAGACTTGCACACAAACATTCATAGCAACTTTGTTCAAAATAGCCCAAAACGGGAGACATCCCAAGTGCCCCTCACAGGTGAATGGATAAACGCGCCGTGAGAGTGCACATCAGCGTACTGCTCAGCAATAAAAGGGAAAGAACTACGCATACACACAACACGAAAGGGTCTCACACGCGGGACAGCAAGTGAGACAAAGGAGTCAGTCACAAAGAACACGGAGGCCAAGCCAGTCAGTGGGGACCGGAATCAGAGTGACAGGTACCGACTGGCAGGGGGACAGAAGGGCGTGCCCTGCGGTAACAGCAACGCTCTGCCTCTTCTTTGAGGGTTGGCTCACACGTGTACATAATTGTCAAAATGCACCAAATGCTTAGGTTATGTGCAGCTCATTGTGCGATAACTATATTTCATTAAAAACTGGGCTCAGTCTTCTGCCATCATAGTAGTCTTTCATGGGTTGCTTTTTTGCTTGAAGAACACTTATTCTGGTCATCCGCTTGAATGATTCCAATGTAAAATTCTTCACTTCTATTGAGAAGGGGATATGACAGAATTGATAAGAGCACCAGGAAAATGTTAACAGGACATTCAGGAAGGGATTTTGCAATATAATCTATAGTCTTATTTTCTGAATATTATTGAAGAGTAATAATAAAGGGGGAGGGCTCTGCTCAAAGATGGTTCTAGAAATGAGGCTTTTTCTATCATTATTATTATCATTATTACTAAATTCAGAGCACAGACAGTGTTTCAGGTTGGCATGGGTTTTGCACCCAAAGCAAAATGCATCATTCAAGACACCATAAGAAAGACATCTTAAGCTCATCTTCCTGCTACAGACAGAGACAGCATTTGGTGGGGGCTGGACAGAGTCCAATTGCTGAATGGCCCAACTACAGTGCAGAACCACAGCCCAGCTTGAAGGGCCAGATGCGAAGGGGAGACCAAAATGAAAACTATCAACGGAATAAAAGAACACACAGGCAAGGAAGCAGCAGGAGGGCTGCAGAAATACAGGCAAACACGGGAAATACACCAAGAACATGAAATGCGCTGCTACTGATTTGCATGCTGGGTTATGTCAATAGACACCATTTTTAGGAACAGAAAATTAAAATGGGAAAGGTTTCTTTTTTTTTTAACAAACAAGAAAAGACAGTGTGCAGGCATATTCACAGCAACCTGGAAATGAGACTAATCTCTTGGAGTCACAATTAAATTTCAACAAAAAGAGGGGGTGGGTATATGAATAAAGATGTGTTTCAAACAAAGAGAAGAAAGGGTATTTTGGGTATTCGGCTGGTTGAATATTTAAGCATAATAACTGATACTTGGGAGGAGCATAAATGCTTCATAAAGGACGTGACTCAAGGGCTGGAAATGCAGGATTAAGCAGCACAGAAGCGGTGGACGACTTTCCATCCGGGATCCCTGATGCTGTCGGTCATTCACTCCACAGTCACCTATCAATCCCCAGCTAACTGCTATGACAACATCCTCCCCTCCCCTGCACCCCACTCCTTGCCCCTCTGCCAGGGGCACGCCCCAAACCTCCATATTCCTGAGCCGGCCTGGGCCACAGTCCCCAACACCTCATGGGACTGAGCATCAGGTTATGTCTGAGCGTTTGTGCTAACTTATTTTAGATGACATTAAGGGTTTTTTTTTTTTAACTCTTTCAGAGGTATCTACTAAAATGTTTATAAAAGGACTTAGATGCTGTCTGGGGTTGCTTCAATATCAGGGAATATTACACAGCAACAACGAAGGCCAGATTCTGACCCCATAGAAGAATCTCACAGACAATGCTAAGTAAAGAAATTAGGTCTTCAGACAGTACATATTTTTTTTTAATTTATTTGACAGGTAGAGATATAGATAGTGAGAGAGAGAGAGACAGAAAGAAAGGTCTTCGCTCTGCTGGTTCACTCCCCAAATGGCCGCCACGGCCAGCGCTGCACCAATCCAAGGCCAGGAGCCAGGTGCTTCTTCCTGGTCTCCCATGCAGGTGCAGGAGCCCAAGCACTTGGGCCATCCTCCACTGCCCTCCCAGGCCACAACAGAGAGCTGGGCTGGAAGAGGACCAGCCAGGACTAGAACCCGGGGCCCATATAGGATGCTGGCACCGCAGGCGGAGGATTAACCAAGTGAGCCATGGCGCCGGCCCCCAGACGGTACATATTATGTGATTCCCTTTATCTGAAGATCAGGAGAGGCAACAACCAACTTTTTGAGTTAAATTTAGAATAGTGGCTATGTTGCAGAGAAAGATGACAACAGAAATCAGAATTTTGGCTATTGGGCTGGGTGCTGTGGCACAGCAGGTTAATCCTCTGCCTGTGGCACCAGCATCCCATATGGGCACTGGTTCTAGTCCTGGCTGCTCTTCTTCCAACCTAGCTCTCTGCTAAGGCCTTGGAAAGCAGTAGAAGATGGCCCAAGTCCTTGGGCTTCTGCACCCATATGGCAGACTGGGAAGAAGCACCTGGGTCCTGGCTTCATATTGGCACAGCTCTGACCATTGCAGCCAATGGGGAGTGAACCAATGGATGGAAGACCTTTCTCTCTGTTTCTCCCTCTCACTGTCTGTAACTCTACCTCTCAAATAAATAAATAAAATCTTTTAAAAAAAGAATATTGGCTATTTCTGGGTAGTGAATATGACTGAAAGGAGACAGGAGGGAATTTTCTAGAATGATGGAAATTTTCTACAATCTGGTTTGGTGGTGGTACATAACGTCAGACTCATCAGATGCTCAAGTTGTGTGCATTTCATTGTATGTTAAGTGTATTTCAAAAAAAGCTATTAGTTATTTTTTAGCTTGAAGACATGTATTTGGATCATCAGTTTTCTTTCATGTATGCTTACAGGCATTCATTCTCTTTCCCAGTGAATACATAAGTGAAAGTAACAGTACTGTTATTTAGCGACTATGATAATTCCCTTCTGGAGCAGAGCCACAGTCATTTAGAAAAGCCCAGCAACACTCTGCCACTGACAAATCACTCAGTTTGAAGTCTTCTTGCTGAGTCATCACTTTTTCATATGATGGCTCTCAAGGAACCATACCATATAGGACCAATGAATATTGGTTCTCTTCATTTTTTTTTAAGATTTATTTATTTATTTGAAAGGCAGAGTTACAAAGAGGCAGAGGCGGAGAGAAAGAGAGGTCTTCCATCTGCTGGTTCACTCCCCAGATGGCTGCAATGGCCGGAGCTGCACTGATCAGAAGCCAGGAGCTAAGAGCTCCTTCTGGGTCTCCCACATGGGTACAGGGGCCCAAGGACTTGGGCCATCTTGTACTGCTTTCCCATGCCACAGCAGAGAGCTGGATAGGACATGGAGCAGCCGGGTCTCGAACCAGTGCCCATATGGGATGCCGGCACTGCAGGCCAGGACATTAACCCACTGTGCCACAGTGCCGGCCCCAATATTGGTTCTCTTTAAAAAGTAGATGAGGTTGGGGCCGGCACTGTGGTGTAGCAGGTAAAGCCACCTCCTGCAGTGCTGGCATCCCATATGGAGACCTGGCAGCTCCTCTTCCAATCCAGCTCTCTGCTATGGCCTGGGAAAGCAGTGGAAGATGGCCCAAGTCTTTGGGCCCCTGAACTCACATAGGAAGACCCGGAGGAAGTGCTTGGCTCCTGGCTTCTGAAAGGCGCAGGTCTGGCAATTGCAGCCAACTGGTGTGTGAACCAGTGGATGGAAGACCTTCTCTCTGCCTCTCTTTTTCTCTCTGTATAACTCTGTCAAATAAATAAATAAATCTTTAAAAAAAATAGATGGGGGATGAGGGAGTGGGGCAGCACTGTGGCATAGTAGGTAAAGCCACTGCCTGCAGTGCCAGCATCCCATATGGATGCCAGTTCAAATCCCAGTTGTTCCACTTCCAATCCAGCTGCCTGCTAATGTATGTGCCTGGGAAATCATGGGAACATGGCCCAAGTCCTTGGGCCTCTGCATCCATGTGGAGACTCAGAAGAAGCTCCTGGCTCCTGGCCTGGGATGGGCCCAGCTCTGACTATTGCAGTCATTTGTGAATGGAAGATCTCTCTCTGTCTCCCCCCACCCCTCTCTAACCCTGCCTTTCAAATAAATAAATAAATCTTTTAAAAAAATAAAACAAAACGTAGTTGGGGCAGGAATCAGAATAGCAATTAAAGCACTGGTTGTGATGCCTGCATCCCATACTGGAATGCTTCAGTTTAAGTCCAACGGTGCCTGTGTTTGATTCCAACTACCTGCTAATGTGAACCTTGGGAGGCAGCAGGTGATGTCTCAAGTACTTGGGTCCCTGCCACCCATATGGGAGACTTGGACTGAATTCCTGGATCCTGATTTTGGCCTGGCCTTTCTCCAACTACTGCAAGCACTTGGAGAGTGAAGCGATGAATGTAAGATCTCTCTGTGTCCGTCTGTGTCTCTCTCCTTCTGTCTCTCTGCCTTTCAAATAAATACATTTTTAAAAAATAAATAAATAAAGAGGAACAAATGTATCACAGAGCCCGAACCCAGCTATCCTCATGATGCCAGGGACCTCTCTGCCCTGCAGTGTAAGCTTTTGGATGGAAGCAAGGTGAGCCTGGTCTGTACAAGTCTGGGGGTTCTTTACTAGCAAGGAAAGCATATTCCCAGGGAGGAATCTCAGCCCTGGAAGCCAAGTCCATTATTGAAAATCAACATCGGGGTAGCTCAACATAGAAACTAAAGTTTCCCCAGTGCTGAGAATGATGGTGGATCATGTGTGTGGTCATCCTGGTCAACACTTCACCTGGCTCTGAGAAACAGGGGACTGTATCCTGAGGACTTGCAGGCTCTGGTCTTGGCCTGAACTTATTCTTTCTTCTCCCCTTGGCATTGTTAATAGCTCTGTTTAAAAATATCTGGGAGCCGGCCAGCGCCATGGCTCACTAGGCTAATCCTCCGCCTTGCGTTGCCGGCACACCGGGTTCTAGTCCCGGTTGGGGCGCCAGATTCTGTCCCGGTTGCCCCTCTTCCAGGTCAGCTCTCTGCTGTGGCCAGGGAGTGCAGTGGAGGATGGCCCAAGTCCTTGGGCCCTGCACCCCATGGGAGACCAGGAGAAGCACCTGGCTCCTGCCATCGGATCAGCGTGGTGCGCCGGCCACAGCGGCCATTGGAGGGTGAACCAACGGCAAAAGGAAGACCTTTCTCTCTGTCTCTCTCACTGTCCACTCTGTCAAAAAAAAAAAAAAAAAAAAAAATATGGGAGCCTTCGCCTGACTGGTTTACTGTCATCCTACTGCTATTTCATCTGTCAAGGATAATTTAGTAAAATTGTAAACATTGATTCAGGTTCTGTCTCATGCTCCACCAATTAACAGATATATATCATCTGTATTTATTTTTTAAAAACCCTCATTTATTTTACTTGAAAGGCAGAATGACAAAGAGAGATTGATCTTCCACCCATTGGTTTACTCCCTAAATGGCTGCAACAGCCAGAGCTAGCTAGGCCAAAGTCAGGAGCCAGAAAAATCTATCTCGGTCTCCCGTGCAGGTGGCA